GTTAACTACACACACACACACACACACACACACACACACACACACACACACGAGCTGCTTTGCCCACGTCTGCTGTGAGCTGGCACACTCCAGCCCTCTCGGGAGGGAAATACCAGCTGCTCCATGTGCTCAGGGACCAACTGTTCATCACCCATTGCAGTGTCTCTGGCTATTGGAGCAGAAAGGGGTGGGAGAAGATAGTGGTGGGCTTGCAGAAGTGTTGATATGGCATGTGGGCGCACATCAGCTGTTTCTGAGTCGTGCCCTTGACCCACCTGTCTCCTGCCCATAGTGTTAACCCCTTGCTTGCTGTCTCTGGTAGGGTTATCTCTTTGAGAAAGACAATCCCATGAGGGATCATCCACAGGCATTTGATGAGGGTCTGAAGTGCCTGGAGAAGGGTGACCTCCCCAATGCTGTCCTGCTCTTTGAGGCTGCGGTGCAGCAGAAACCTGACCACGTGGAGGTGAGCGGAGCAAGGAGAGCAGGTCTGCTCCAGGTATCTTGCCATTTGGAGCCTGGCTCAGCTCCCTTAGCAAGGTCAGTCTAGGGATGGGAGATCCACTTGTCAGAGTTTCAAAGCAACTGCACTTGTATCCTCACCTTCATGGCCCACTCCAGGGGTGCTCAGCCTTGTCTCAGGTTTCTAGCCCTTACCTGTCTCTGGGCAGGGGGCCCATGTCCCACTCCTTTCTGGCTGGGAGTTTTACAGCTGCACAGCTCCCTGACATACACTATTGCCAGCAAGCAAGTCTGCCTAATGGCCAGAGCCTCTGTGTTGCTTTCTCTCCACAGACAACAGTGTTTTACCTGTCACCACACAGCTCTTCCAAAGAAAAGTACATTTATTCTAGGGCAAAAGCATCACAGAGAAACCATGTTAAAAACAATAAAAGTTCTTACCCGCTTGCAAAGTACACCAGCAATCACCCACCTTCCACATGTAGAATCTGGTAAGCCATCACCCTTCCAATCCTTCCACAAGGCTTGGGCCTCCCCTTGGACAGAAGGTCCTGCCCATTTGCTGAATCAAAATGAAGGTCCTGACTATCTTTAAACTCAGCCTTTTATACCAGAAGCCCTTTCTTTGTCACTTAGTCTCTGGAAGACCCAGCTTGTACCAGTATATGCAAACCTCCCTCGGGTATGGTGCTTCTCTGGGGATGTTTACAATCCCCAGGGTAATCCTCCCCACTGTTTTTTAGCTCCTGGAGGAGCTGGGGTAACCTGCCCCCATGGAGTAGAACATGATCATACAGAGAACTTTCATGAATGTAATACAAGGATCCCCAGAGAGAGAGCCTGGGGTTGCAATGTGGCCCACCACTCCCATGCTGGGGGAGCTGTGCTGCAGGGGGTGGTGTGGGTGACTCCAGTTCTCGGGTGTGTAACTCTGGCTGTGTACTTGTATGTGAACCCCAGGGGGCTTACTGAGAAGATGGTCAAGCTGTGTGCACCTGACCTATGGTGCAGAAGGTCTCCCAGACTAAAGCTGGTTAGAATCTTGGGGCTATAACTTGGGATTGGTAGGTTCTAGGGTATCTGTCTTCCTGAAGCACTAGACTCCCTGCATGAGATGCTGAAGGTCCTTACCATGGTGGCATTGGAGTCATGAGGTTGGTGACTGTCTTCAACAGCCATGCAAATGCTGAGTCTTTTGAGTCAGCTGAGGACTTGACAGCTAGGGTGGGTCAGTCCTAGGTGTCTGGCTCAACTCAGACAGCTGGTCTCACTTCTGATTTGGTGTCCTGATTAGGACTGGACGTTGGACAACTGGAGAGCTTACCCATGTCCTGGTCAGATCACTATCTCCTGTTGTCTGAGGTCAGGGCACGCTGCTCCATTTGGGTGAAGGGCCAGTTCTGACAATCTGCTGTCAGCGATGGGACTGAAACACTTGAGGGAGATGAACATGCCACTCCATCAGTGGTTTGATAGGACTATGGGCTCTTGTCCTTGCCATTGATCATGTGGCCTCTTAGGTACCCACTTCCTTGGCTTTGTCCTTACAAGTCACCATGGTAGACTCTAGAGGGCCAGTGACAGAGTGAGAGGGAATATTGCTGAAATGGCTGTGATGGAAGTCTTGGGGCCCATTCTGCATGGTGTGCAGGAGACAAAGAAGGGATGCTTTGCCTTCATCCTAGTATTCACAGAGCCCTGATCAGGAGGCTAGTCTGAGTCATTGCTGTGAGGATGAAATTGAGATTCGGACTAAACTCTGTTTTCTAGGGGACAGGGCAGTGTTCTGAGGGCATGCATGTTCAATCAGCTCTGCTTGAGTCTCAGGTAGTTTCACACTGAGGCTCTGGAAGGGTGGGGGCACTTAGTCATCACCTGTGTTGGCTCATGAAGGCCATTGACAAGTGGCTGGGTCCATTGCTGGTGGTAAGTAACACTTCTCTTAAAGAGAGCAGGGTACTGGCTTCCCTGCTTAAGGGAACTTTTGTATGGCTTATGCTTGTTACTTCATGCTGTCAGTCCAGCCAACTGTCAGCCTGGATCAAACCTTCCATTTCTGGGTGAGACGATGGAGCATACTTGGGGTGTGGGGGTAAGACAACTCATAATATCTGACTAACGTTAAAGAGGTTTAAATCCGCTAATCAGGGGAGAGCTGTGGGTGCAGCAAGGAGGCTGTGCTGTCTACATGCTTAGATGATCTGGTGATGGATGAAGATCAAATCAGGTGTCAATGCTGCTATATTTAGATCTCTCAGCTGCCTCAGTATTGTCGATCATGACATAATGATTCACCTGTGGACCACAGCAAGCTGCTCCTGACTGAGTCTCTTAGCATTCCTGCTTCAATATCCTGTCTGCTGGGCTGTGCTATCTCTCTGAGGCCCTCAGTGGCCTGAGACCTGCCTCTCTTTCTTCCTCACCCTGCAGTCTAGTCCCAGTTGTGATGGGTGGAGGTGCTAAAGCTGGAGCCCCAGGGTTTAGCAGAGGGGGGACTGCTGGCAGCATGTTGTGTGTGTGGGGGGGGACTCACTCCCCCTCTACCTTTCCAAATAGCCCAAACCTGCTGACTTTCAGGATGCATTGCAGAGCCCACCTGTTTTCCTGGGGAGTGTGGGAGAGGTGAGGGTGCTTATGAGGGGTTGGTTAACAGGAGTGGGCTGAGGCTGCTGACTTGGGTACATCTATTCTTAATCTCCAAAAAAGGTGTCCAGGGCACAAGATGGTGCCTTTAATTGTACTTGCAATCTGAAGAAGTATAAATAAGCTTGTCTCTGTTTCTGCGTCAGGCCTGGCAGTACCTGGGAACCACCCAAGCAGAGAATGAACAAGAGCTGTCTGCAATCAGTGCTCTCAGGCAGTGAGTAGCTGGTGAAGAGGGTATCTAAAGCAGGACTCCTGGGTTCTGCTCGTGGCTCCCAGAGGGACTGGCTTGCTGGCCACTAATGACACACCTTATCTTGGTTTCCCTGCTTAAAGGCTAAACAAAGTTCCAGTGCTTTTTTCCCTGCACCAAATGCAAACTTGGAAGGATAAGTTCCCTGTGGACTGCTGTAGAGAGCTGGTTTCTGACCCAGTCAAGGTCTCCTGCCCCCTAATGGATCCCTCCTTAATTTGCCTGGACACTGGCGCTTGCTGTTCAACCTGTTCATAGCCCACCAAGATGGTTGGAGAAGTGTTCTTAAAAGGCCACCAAAGCTTCCTATCCACATCTCCAAAAATGTGAATGCTGTGCACTCTCTCCCCCTCTGCCCTGCAGGTGCCTGGCGCTGCAGCCAGGGAACGTCACTGCACTCATGGCTTTGGCCGTCAGCTTCACCAATGAGTCTCTGCAGAAGCAGGCATGCGAAACCCTGCGTGACTGGCTGCGCCACAAGCCAGCCTATGCCCACCTGGTGGGGAAGGACCCGGAAGGAAGCAGCTTGGCATCCAGCTTGGGATCCTCCAAGCGCATCCTGGGTTCCCTACTGTCTGAGTGAGTCTGGAGGATGGGGAAACTGGGGGAGGTGCAGAATATCCCAGTCCTGCTTGTGGTCTTGTAGCTGGGTCCATTGGGGTGGGGGTGACCCCAGGAAGGGTTGCAGGGTTCCCTCATTCTCTCCCTCCCCAGCTCCCTGTTCATGGAGGTGAAGGACCTGTTCCTGGCAGCCGTGCGCAGTGCCCCCTCAGCCGTGGACCCCGATGTGCAGTGCGGCCTGGGCGTCCTCTTCAACCTGAGCGGCGAGTACGAGAAGGCCGTGGACTGCTTCAGTGCCGCATTGAGCGTGCGCCCCAACGTAAGGGGGCAGAGTGGGGTTTGGGGGGGCAGGGCTGATTCAGGATTGTGTGTGTGTATGGGGAGGTGGGGCTGGACTTTGCCTTGGGGGAAAGGCCGGTGGGGTGAGCAGCAGGCTGACTTGAGGGGGTGGGTAGGTTTGAATACTGGATGGAGTGGGGAAGAGACGGGGACGTGGGGAGGGTTGTGAAGGACAAGGATGTAGGGTGGAATGCCTGATGCCCCCGTCACTTGCTTCCGCTCCCCCTCCCCCCTTTCCAGGATCACCTCCTGTGGAACAAGCTGGGTGCCACTCTGGCCAACGGGAATCGCAGTGAGGAGGCTGTGGCCGCCTATCGCCGGGCACTGGAGCTGCAACCAGGCTACATCCGCTCCCGCTACAACCTGGGCATCAGCTGCATCAACCTGGGGGCCCATCGGTGAGTGGGAACGAGGGGCCAGATGGGGGTTGGGTGCTGGCCCCGGCCAGGTCTGCTATGACTGGCTCCCACTGATACTTAATCAGTTAGTTGGGAGGGGGCTCAAGGGAAGGGAAGTGAGGGGGTATTGGTGAGGATGTTCCACTTGGTCCCTCTGGGCATAGGATGCGCTCCTTAACCCTGGCAAGGAGGGAGCAGAGCATGTCTGTCTGCCCCAGGAGCAAAGTACCAGCCCCACTCCCTTGGTTCCCAGTATCAAAGGGAGGGAGCATCTCAGAACTATGGAAAGGATCTGTTGCAGTGATTGTCTTCAAGCTTGTGTCTGGAGGTGGGGCTGTCAAGCCACATCCATTACAGCTTGGACGTTGGCTTCATTGGTCCTGTAGGCCAACGATGAAGTATGTGAGGAGCAGGGGTAAGAAGAATGGCTGGAGGAAGTGTGGAAGGGTGATTATTGAGCCATCCAAAGAGGGGATCTAGTGGGTCCTTCTCACCCATAGGATGTGCAAACCTCCCCAATTAACTCTCTCCCTCCCTCCCATGTCATGCTGACAGTGAAGCAGTGGAGCACTTCCTGGAGGCCCTGCACATGCAGCAGAAGAGCCGGGGCCCACGGGGCCAACAAGGTGCCATGTCTGACAACATCTGGAGCACCCTCCGCATGGCCCTCTCCATGCTGGGCCAGAGTGATCTGTATGGGGCAGCCGATGCCCATGACCTTCCCACCCTGCTCCAGGCCTTTGGCCTCCAGCAGTGACTTGAGGACGGGCTCCCCTGTGAATGCAGGGTGGGCCCAGGCCAGTAGTTATGTCCCACAAGCCCCTTCTAGGGGGGGCGGGGGGAAAGCTTTACTGGGGTTCACACACCTCCTTTTCAAATCTGCCCTTCAGTTGCTGGGCGGCAAGTCATTGGCTGCCATTTCTCTAGGACCTCCCACGGTAGAGGTCACTTCTCACCTGTGTCTTGTGGCCTGAACATCGGTGAGCGGCTCATGTGGCACCATCTCCCCAAGAGATTCTGACCCTCCACGGGGAAGAGCTGCTGGCACTGGGAAGCAAATCAGTGGGGGGTGGAAGGGATGGGGAAATAGGAACGTATCAAGATCACTTCTTATAAGATAAAATAACAAGTTTGCATTTGTGATACCCTCATGTCAGACCCTGCCATAACTATGCTGTGCAGCTGAGACTGCCCACTCAAACGACTGGCTCTGAGTGTGCTGGTTAGGTGTAGGATTGCTTTCTAGTGCTGGGGCTGCCCATCCCGGTTTGCTGTGGGGTCTGAGAGTGCTGGGGCTACTAACCCTGGGACTTTCCCAGCTGAGCATGCAGACCCACCCCCACCACGTGTGTGCAGAGGGTGGGTCACTTTGTGAGGCTTGTAGTTTTGTTTTGTTCCCCCCCCCTTCCATGTGCTAGTAACTGTGTCCTGGTTCTGAGTGTGTCTCACTGGGCTCACTCTCACTTGGGATTTGTGAGGAAGCTCTGAGACTGCAGTGAGAAGAGTCCCTGGGGCTGAGTTTGGGGGGTCACCCAGGAACTGGGGGGAAGCTGGCTAACTATAAAAGCACCTTGGCCAAAAGCAGAGGTGGGGGTAAGGTCTTAATTTTCACTTGATTGTCCATCATTGTAAAATAAATTGGGAATTATTTTCTTTGTGCAGATGGTCTCCTCCCCCCTCTCCGCCACAGCCTGTAATTGAATCTTGTGAATTATAAATATCTGTATATGATTTTGGAGGGAAAGGGTTTTTTTTTTTAATTGTAAAATATTTTGTATAATAGAAGGGGAAAAATTAAACTTGTCAAAATATTGTAGTGTCTGGCTGTGTGTATGTATTGGAGAGGTGTATGAGCCTTCGTATGGGGAAGCTCCTGTGGAATTTGAGAGGATGCTTCGAGGCCCACAGGAAAGGATGTTGGGGTAGGGCGTAACTGTAGAGGGTTGCTGCTGCTGTCTGTGTGTCTCCCCCTACCCTGCACCTTCGTGGACATTAAGGCAGTCTAGGCCCCCACCACTTGGGAGTTCTGGTGGCAGACAAAGGCCCCCAATCTGCACAATAGTCAGTGGCAAAGGTGGCCTTAGCTGGGCTCCCCCAGAGAGTCAGGGGAGGTAGCCCAACACCCCCCCCCCCACTTGAGTACTTTATCTTGGGGCAGGTGAGTGGATGGGTGGGTTCTTTGGCTGGGTCTGCTGCACTCTTCTGCTATAAGCAGAGACCCTGTTGGGGTGGGGTTGGTGGAGCTCATCAGAGTGGTCTTGGTATTAACACCATGTTCAACTGAATGGGGCAGTTTCTACCTCTCAGAGCTGGTGATTCAGGTGCTCCACAGATGTCCCTGCATCAGTTATCCTCAGGCTGTTTTTTCCAACTTTTCTTGCTAACCATGAAGGCTAGAAATTTTTTTAATGGTGAAAGCTGAGCTTTTGCTGTGGTCACAACTCTGGAAGTTGGGACCCTGGGCATCACAGACCTATGCCTATGACCTAATCTGTCCCTGTCTGGCACCCAAATATACTCTTGCTGTCCTGGGCCCCTTCCCCATTTTGGTGGGGGGTGGAGTGGGGGAGAATTGGACTGGGAAGCTTTCTCAGAGCTTGATCAGGAGAGCGGCCATGTGCACAGACCTGTCTCACATAGGTCTTTTCCCTCCCCCTGCATCTTGGTGCCATGTCATCAATGCTCTTGCTGTTGTGGAAGGGAGGGGTGTGATGAGGAAAATCTTAAATATGCTACCAACTTCCATCCCTGCACAGCACATAGCCCTCAGCCCTCATAGCTGTGCCCCTTTGCCCCTACATGGGGTCTTTGCTCTGATATTCCTCAGAGCAGGAGCTGGGGGGGGGGGGGGCACACTTCATTTTCTAAGAAGTCTGACAGCTGCTTCTGCAGCAAGGGTCTCCCCCTAATCCCAGATCAGCTCATCCAAAGGAAGGGGTTAATCTCTCTAAAATGCCAGGTGCACTGAACTGCAGCTCTTCTGGGCTTGCCAAGTAGCATATGGGTCTGGGGGCAGCAATATTCATACAGCACAGCATAGCCTCTCACCACTCTCATATGTGGCCCCTCTCAATGGGAAATGTAGCAATTGGCTCTCTGTGCTGGGAGCAGCACTGGCCCATGGGCTTCCCAAGCCCTTTCAGCACCAGGCTCGAACCTCCTTACCCTGCTGCACTAAAGGACTGCCTGTGTAACTTCTCCCTGTGGAAAGACCCTGGCTCAGCTCTAAGGCCTAAATATTCAGAAGCATTCACTGCTTTTGGGTGCCTACCAGTGTAGGGTGACCAGATAGCAAGTGTGAAAAATTGGGATGGGGGTGAGGGGTAATATACCTATCTCATAGAACTGGAAGGGACCCTGCCTTCACTAGCAGGACCAAGTACTGATTTTGCCCCAGAATCCCTAAGTGGCCCCCTCAAGGATTGAACTCACAACCCTGTGTTTAGCAGGCCAATGCTCAAACCACTGAGCTAGAAGAAAAAGCTCCAAATATAGGGGCTGTTCCTATAAAATCGGGACATCTGGTCACCCTACACCAGTGTGAAACACTTGCGGGTTGAACACCCACATCTTTCCTGGCCTTCAGAAGGAGGGCTAGGCAGGTGTAAACTTCCTGCCTGTCGTTGGAGCTTTCCAGCCTCAGTGCTACATTTCTTCAGCTGCAGTGACACCTAGTGCTGAATCCAGAGCTGTGTACCCTTTGACTCTGTTTTCTTGCTTTCTCAAAGTTCACAGCATATGAAAAGAGCCCAGGAGCCGTGGCCTGCTTGTCTTTGAGTCATAGCTGCGTCGTGACACTCAGGGCCCTAGCTCCAGACAGAGGGATTTCATTCTGTCTCTAACGTGGCAAAGCTGTCGTTGAGCCAAATTTCTAAAGATGAATTTTTATTGGCACTTGTAGCTGAGGCCAAATGGGGCTAGATTCTTTAGTGTCCAAGTTTGAATTTGCAAGTGTCCCCCTGCTATTCCAGTCTTGTGCTCCCCACACAGCTCTGCCAATGCCCCTCAGTCCTGCCCTGCAGCCCCCTGTTATTCCAGTCCTGGGCTCCCCACACAGCTCTGCTGATACTTTCAGGTCAGCATAGTGGCATAACAGTACTGTGTGAGCATTACGAAGCACTGGGTATATTTTCTGACTGCAATACTACGAGCTGTGAAGCAGAAGCTTCCACAACCACCTGCTGTGCACTTGAAGTAGTCCTGGGACTTGCCACCTTCCCTTTCCCTCACTGCAAGCTGAGGTTGGAGACCTGTTTGTACTATTGGTGCTCGGGCTCAGGCCCAATTACTAGGAAAGAAAAGTGGCTGGGAATGAGAAGTTTTCCAGCTGTTTATTACACTCAAGTGATTAGACCTGAGACTCCTAACCCTATCCTGTGGTTCCATACAGCCTTCTTTAAAATGGCCCAAGGGATGGGGCTTCCAGTGAGAGATCCCTCCACCAGCTGCTAGACCTTTCTGACATGAGCAAAAGTTTTCTGAAATCTGGTCTGACACACTGACATTGTTCAGTGTGAGGATACAGTCATGGAATTCCCTTGTCTTGCATGATACCTATTTGTCATGCCCTGGCATCCTCCCACTATCTGTCTTACGTCATGCTGGGGCAAAGCTACTTATGCAGTCTTAGCCTGTCAGACTAGTTATGGTGATGGTATCATGCAGTTTACAGTATTATCAACGCCTAGCCTTCAAAAACCAGGCCCCCAAAAGCATGAGATTAAAAAAAATGCACCATAAGTTCTTTTATTTTGCCTGCTGGTCTCTGAGCCTTTGGTGGACATTCTGTTCCCATTTCAGGCTTTTCCCCGCCACTAGGAGGGCTAGTGACTTTTTTTTTAATGAAAGCTGAGATTCTCCCACAGTCAGGTGGCTCCAGGAGCAAAGGGCTTAAGGAAAATACAGACTGTGAGATGTGTGATAATAGTTAATTTCAATGCTGGTTCAGCCTGGAATCAAGAAGAAGCCAAAAAGGACAGAGGGGCGTGAGTAGAATGGGATGAACTGGGACACAGGTTGTGGAGCTGGCAAATATCTTAAATCTCACATCCCAGAGTTTGTCAAATGTTCTCCATTAAGTAATATTGAAAAGAGTTGGACACAGTTGCTATCAAACCAGTCAAGTGTTCAGATTTCCACGTACAGCCACTTCCCCTCGTTTTAACAGCATTTGAATGTGTTGGTAAACAGTTAACGGTGTTACTTCTGCAGCCATATTAAGAGATTTGAAAATGCTGCATTTGATTCTAACTCAGTTTATATCAGTCCTTAGGCGCTGCTCTGAGCAGCAACGTTACAGAACAGGAGAGAGAGTAAAAGAAATTCCTGCCTCTTTCACCTTCTTTAGACTTGAACCCAGCTCCACTCCTGGTCCAACAAGCCAGCCCTGGGCACTCAGCCAGTGAACAGCTGACAGTTCACCAGCTAGAGCAGATGAGCTGGACTGATCTGGGAGCTGTGCTCCTGACAGAGCTTCAGCTATCAGCTCTCTCCCTCTCCCGCCCCAACCTGACAGGAGGCAGGGCAATGGGATAACTAGAACTGAACTGTTTTGGAAGCACAGCTAGCAGCTCAGCTTCTCTGGTAACTTCCAGGCCAATGCTCTGCAGTGTAGTTTCAAAATAAATGGATAACTTCATATTTCAAGTTATGCCCCTAAATATAGTTACATTAGATCAAAGCTTGGGGCCTCTGTTAAATTTGCGTTGGCTATTCTACAAAACGAGGTCAATGTAAGTTGACTTGCATCAACCTACTGCATGTGTCCCTACTCACATTTGTCACTATCTGATGTAAGTGTCCCTGCTACAGTGATGCACTAAAACTAACTCCCTGAACAGCACAGACCTATGGTCGACTTACTGAGAGTGTAGCATGAGTGTAGACACTGCATGAGCTGTGGTAGCCCTAACCATCCTCCAGCAACTGTCCCAAAATGCCCCATTCCCTATGACCGGGACTGCTCTGTTCACAATTGTATCTGCCCCATCCCCTGCCCAGCGGTCACAGAGACTGTAAGCCAATCCCTGAGTATATTTGAAATGCCTGTTCCTGGCAAGCATACCTAGCTGCACTCCTGCCTGGAGCAAACAGGAGGTATTGGATTTCCTGGGCCTGTGGGGAGGCTGTGTAAGCTCAGCTACAGACAAGCTGTAGCAACATGGATCGCTACAAACAGATTGCATGGGGGATGCAGGTAAAGGGGTACCCCAGGGATCAGCAGCAGTGCCGTACAAATGCAAAGGGACTGTGCCAGGGATACCACAAAGCCAGGGAGGCCAACAATCAATCTGAAGCTGAGCTACAGACCTGCTGCTTTTCCAACGAGCTGCATGCCATGCTTGGTGGAGACCCCCCCATCAGCAGCCTGCACACCACTATGGCTAAAACGGAGGAACCCAAGTCAGAGGCCCCTGCCATGAATAGCAATGCGGGGGGGGGGGGTGTTTGGAATTCAGCCACATCACGAGCCTGTTCAAGACTCTGCCACACTCTACCCAGTCCTGCCAGCCAAGCATGAACAAGTCTGAAGAAGGGGAAGGGTCCTCCGGTAAGTGTGTGCATTTAAAAATGACACTTGGCCCAGGATTTTCACTGTTACTTGTACTAGAAGAGGTAGTGGTACAGCAAACAGTGGTAGAGTTATCTGCTTTTCATGCTCTGTAGGGCTAGGAAGGGGGGGCGGAGGCTGGTGGAGCACTTTGTTTATGTACATAGACATGTATATATATATAGCTTCCTACTGTATTTTTCCACTGCATGCATCTGATGAAGTGGGTTTCAGCCCATGAACGCTTATACTCAAATAAAT